ACTCCAGCCAAACATGTGAAGTACCCTCATACGTGAAAGACGCTGGATCTGCCGCTTCTCTTTGTGCTGATGGACATTGTGATATCTCGTAGCAGTGCATTCTTACCCCCGATATCGATAGATGCTCTGATACAGTCCGCCTATCAAGATCTCGAGCCTCATGTCTGTCGTCCCACCTCTAACGCGCTCAGATAGCTTTGCCTCCTTCGTCACAGCAGTTATGGACGACCTAAATCCTGGGATATATGGGATCCAACTTGCAGATTCTTTGGAAAAAGGCAACACCTATGTCGACCTCTCAGGGCAAGACTTGAGAACTATCATTGGTACGAGAGTACCTCAGTATCTTTTATTGCGATTGTCTCAATGAAGTTCAACAGGCTTTACTGCTCATGGTGGCGACAATCAAAGAGTATGGCTGAGCTATTCCCTGCAAGTTCGCCGTCTAATAATTGTCAGTGGGAATTTGCGACGTTGGGCGCGGGATACTCCATTCGAAGTACCTACAATGGGTCATACTTGTCTGTCGATTTCAAAACTCTGCGTGAGCTTCGACCACACGTTGTCGCCTCGTCATTTCCCGTCAGCTGGGACGTTAAGATGTATGACGCAGAAAACGGAGTCTACAGGTTTGGTTCCGTCCTTTCGTTCGTAGTGCACATCCTGATGACCGTGATCGAAAGGATCCGGTGGCCTGAAAGCGAATATGTGTTTAGCATGGGTACCCAAGTTGACGGTCTCCCTCCTGTATGTTACCTTGACAAGCACTGAGACCTCATGCTCAGCACCAGACCAGATATTCCTTTCCAAGCAGAACTCAAACGCTGATTCCTCGCAGCTATGGTGCCTCCGTGAATGCGAAGGTGTTCCATTGTCACCATTGACCCAGCCGTCATCGAATACGGTACTAGTGAACTTTGGTGACAGCGCTGAGGGAGATATCGTAATTACGACAACCACCACAACGCTGACGAAGGTCAAGAGAGTTGTCGGATGACCTAAGTAGTACCTGTCTATGATATTGTTAACGGGGCATACCTACCTCAGGTTGACCACAATGGGACATTTTAATCGGTGACAGTGAGATTCGAACCCACGCCATATTAGACATGACGATTTTCGGCATATGTAAGCCATCTCCTATCCGTGTCAAGTTTTCGACAATATTTACCTGAATATCAAATTTGACCCACTTTTATCCGAATTCGCGACTCAGTACTCATCGATCATCCTCGAGTGCGGGTGTCTTAGATAGGGATCCCTCCTCTCGTCTTCCGAATACAGTGCACACCGACCTTTCTCAATTGCAACTGGCTTCCACTCGTTCAAGGTCCAGTTTCAACCCAGAGTGGGGTGGAGATTGTTGAGAACTCGGTCTTACGCTTTCGTAATCATGGTATTGACTTACGAATTTCAGCACTGGGAGCTGACTGATACTTTTTCTTTTGGGACAGTTTAGAACAAATCGTTTGGTTGGAGGTCTATTTTTGTCCAGTTTTGTTTGTTTCAGACCCACACGGAAAGCACCGAACGTGATGACGAAGTAAACTGGCTAAAAGGGGGAATACCGACTTTTGATCACCAACCATTCGAGATTGGATGAATAATTCGGTTGAATGATTGTCAGAATTTCTGTCGTGTGTATAAAATCAATCGTTAAAGATGAGAACCCATCCATCTTCCCTAGACCGTCTTTTCTCTCACCATGGTCCAAGATATTTTCCGCGACTCGACCATCGGCCAAGCCATCAACTACATCTCAAACGGCCGTATCTTTCCTTATACTGACCAGCAACCCGACTTCGTGGTTCCTCCACATTTTCTCCTTCCATCTTCTCAAAGACCATCCACAATCGTGTCTCCAGACTCCGACGCAACAACATTATGTGGCGACCTAGAAAAGTCTGGAGGTGCTGGGGTACAGTTTACGAGGGAGTCCACATTAACTGCCGATCTTGACATGGAGAAGCAAAAGCAGATCGAAACTGCCCTCAACTCAGATCCATACATTGTAGGATGGTATGGGGACGATGATCAAGAGAATCCAAGGTTTGCTGCTTTTCGGCTTCTATCGGATATATGTTCTGAAGTATATTTCCAGAAATTGGTCTCCAGCGAAGCGCGCATTTGTCGCGTTCAGCATCAGTTTTCTCACTTTCAGTGTGTATATTGGCTCAGCCATCTACACGCCGTCGATTCCCGGCCTGATGGCTGACTTCCATGTCTCTCAAACTACAGCTACCCTCGGTCTCTCTCTATATGTTCTTGGTAAGTTCTTCTGTGTCGAATTCTCAATCGCGCAGCACTGACACTCCTACTCAGCGTACGGTATCGGACCCATGTTTCTAGCACCTCTGCAAGAACTTCCGGGGATAGGTCATAACCCGGTGTACACGGTCACCTTGTTCCTATTCGTCGTGTTCCAGGTTCCCGTTGCCGTCGCGAGAAACATGGGCACGGTTCTGGCATTCCGGTTCCTCACCGGATTTGTCGGAAGTCCTGCACTCGCTACAGGAGGTGCATCGATGGCGGACATCTACCCTATGCATCAATTCGCATATGTTCTAGGAATCTGGGCACTTGGCGCTGTCGCGGGACCGATCACTGGCCCAGTCATCGGAGGGTTCGCGGCACAGGCCAACGGATGGAGGTGGCCTCAGTATGAGCTCCTCTGGATCGCTAGTTTCGCACTTATCTTCCTCCTCCTACTTCTTCCGGAGACTTACGAGCCGACAATCCTGCTGAAGCGGGCACAGTGACTGAGGAAACTGACAGGAAACCAGGAGCTGAGGTCTCAGGGTGAGAAGGATAAGGAGGGCGAGTCTCTTGGAGCGGTGATGCAGGAGGCGCTGATCCGTCCGTTCATTCTTGCGAAGGAGCCTGTCTTGATGTTCGCCAATGTCTACCTAGGATTCGTCTGTGAGTAATTCCTCACACTGTCTTGGTAGACTCCCCAATTGACGATATTTTATCAGATGCGATCTTTTACCTGTGGTTTGAAGCTTTCCCGCTTGTATTCACAGACATCTACCACTTCAACCTTGGTCTGAGTGGTCTGCCCTTCCTCGCATTCGTTGTCTCTGGTGCCATCACTGTAAGTGTCCTCATCTTTCACAAGATTTCCTAGGCTGACAATCGTGCTCTAGTACACCGCATACTACCCGAAATACCACATCGCACCTAGATATGCCAAAGCGGCTGGTGCAGGCATCGACATCGCGCAGAGACCCGCCCAGAGATTGGTTTGATTGCAAGCATCTTCATCCCAACGAGTGTTCTCATCTTTGGATTCACTTCGAAAGAGAGCATACATTGGATGGTTCCCGTCATTGGGGCTGCGCTCTACCTCCCGGGGATATACCTCACTTTCCAGAGCATCCTGACATATATTACACCGGCGTACCCTACTTATGCGGCGTCGGTACTCGCTGGCAACGATCTGTTCCGGTCGGCCATTGCGAGTGTGTTCCCACTATTTGGACGTGCGTTCTTTGTGAACCTCGGTCTTGGGCCGGGCTCTGCGCTACTCGCTGGTATCTCTTTCCTGCTTATGCCTGTGTTTTGGGTATGTCAGATTCATATCTTTGTTGTTCTGCTCGCTGACGGTTCTTCAACAGTCATTGTGGAAATGGGGATATATCTTGAGGAAGCGCTCAGTTTACGCAGCGAGCGCATAAAAACTACTGAAGATCCTCGATTACTATTCAATCAGTTTTCGCTGCTGTCTTCGCTTACCTCCAGGAAGGAAAGCTTTACTAATTGCAAGAACTTTCATCACTTAGAGCATACCAGATAGAGCGTGCTCGCAGGATAGAATCACAGAGCTATATCACTAGTTAACTTGCTTCATTTGTATTTTTAATGTTTTTGTTGCTATGTCACGAATACCTAATTCTAATGATCTACGTTCTAAGTACTTTATCACACAGTCATTCTGCAAGAGCAATATACTTACATGTAATCGACGGGTGCAATGAACTAGATGGAAAGTCAACACCAGAGACGGAAATCTCACACTCCAGACGCGTAAGGATCATAATCTCCGAGCAAGGCAACGTCAAGCGTGTCGATATGGAAATGCGAGAAACACCTGTGTAGCAGGATCCAATACTAGACCGGGCTTTAAATTCGGCGTATCTGCTTCCGTCGAGGACATAGACCCAACTAATTGATCCAAACCGCTAGCCAATGTACGAAGGAGCTGTGTACAATTTGGCATTGCAACATCGAATATACCGTAATAAGGCTCAGCATCCACGTTGGATCCGACAGTTCAATGTCAACCATGTCACCGTCCCGGGTCATGTCCGCAGTACGATCTTGAACCCTAGGTTGAAGGAACAGACGATATTTGTTAAGGAAACCAACACAACCTGCAGGAATGGCAGTAGAAAAAGTCACATATCCTGTATACACAATGTCCTCAAGACAGATTGATCGCTCGAGTCGCATCCTTCAAATCCGCCAAGTTCGAAGTCTTGTCAATACATGCGGCACTCAGAATCCTTCGATGTGTATGCACAATTAACTGATCAAACCCCAAATAGGTGCAACCGAACGAAACGTGCCGTACGGCCAGGACACGAGTCGCAGCGCATAGAAGGGCCTAAGCATCTAGGTGAGCGCCACAACCGAAAGGAAAATAATCCTCGACAGAGACCAGTGAACGTAGCTAGAGTAGTCTTCATACGGCAGACGTGTTGTTCTCAGAGAGCTACGCACAATAAAATTCTGTCAATTTGTCGAGACAGAATGGCTCTTATCAGAGATAGAAGAAGGGAGAGTAGATTGTGCACGAAACCCTGGTGGTGGACTGGTAAGTTACTGGCTATTTACTGTTAGCTTACTTGTCATATAACGTTAATGTAGCAGACTTAATTCTATTGATTTGTGTGTTGTTTGCAATGTAATAAAGCACTTATAAGGGAGTGAGAGAGCTCAGAGCCGCCGCCGCTCGCCGGTGATACTCTCCGATGGAGATTCTTGAAGGTAAAAAGTATTGATGAGAGTGGGATTCGAACCCACGCCTCGAAAGACCAGATTACATAAGCTCAGAATCTGAGTTGGTCATTTAGGTAATTACGTAATAACCTTAGTCTGGCGCCTTAGACCGCTCGGCCACCTCACCGTGACTATAAGTGTCTTGATAGTTTGTAGAGGCAGTGGTGCCCCTTCCAGGGCGCCCATCAAATGATCAACATCCAGGATCCTCAGATAGATATACGAACTAAACAAATAGACTTTCATGGATTCAGTGCAAGTCTAACAACGTATAGTTCATTCAAATGCTCGTGGAAGCTGCCCTAGAGTGGCAGATGCAGATGAGCTGTTCAAGAAATCACACACCTGGAGTTTCATCACGGATCTGGTGCCTCGACTGCTCGGCCATACAAAAATTAAACGTGGATATCCAGGCTGGATACGATACTTAGACCTTTCTCGTTAGGTAATCCTATACGACATCGACTCTTTACCTTAAACATTATCACTATTGAACTCGGACGAAATCCTGACTGTCGAGAACTTGCTCGTTTCAATGCCGCCGTGCATTCTGACAATACCTGTGAGAATGTAATTGATAGAGATTTACTCGGTGCTAATTTGGAGTCGTATTTTTGTCTCAAATGCTTATGTTACTTCAGTTTTCATTTCAAGCTACCCATATATAAATGTACAAATACTTCTGCGTTCAGAGTCCAAGGTCTCGAAGAGACTCGCATTCTTGACTGGCAGCCCGGTCCCTCACGTATATGGAATAATGTTGGCAGCTACACACAACACCTGTTCAAGTTCAGTCGATGTCAAACCATTCAACAGTACGTTTCTCACCGTGTCCAGTAAAAGGTTCGAACAAGCACTATTGACATTCCTGTTATTGACCAGAAGAGTTGCGAGGCCGATGTCATTGGCGAGGGCGATACCACTACAGGAATCTCCAGACATGACGATTTCGGTCTGGTTACAATCTTGACCGGTAATCCCCAGGCAAAGCACCTTTATAGTTGATCATGAGCCATGGACGCAAAGATAATGGGATAAATACACATACTTGACCAATTTGCAGATTGTTACACAGCGCATCAATAGCTGGATTCACATGAGCAAGCTGGAAGCTGAGAAACGCGGTAAGCCTGATTAAGGTAGGCAATGGGATGAAGACACCCGTACGTAGAAACATTAAACGCAGCTGAAATGTCATTGCAATTGTCTCCAGCGACCACTGTATGTTTACGAGCACAGTTACTCTGGGCAACACCGAGATTGAGAACACCAGTAAAGAGAAGAGCAAAAATGGGGATGAACCACATCTTGGAACTGGTGAAAACACGTAGAAAGGTCCGTCCATTTATACGTAGAAAAGCTGGCAAATCTGCCGGAGGCAGGCTCATGAAGCTACCGAATGATCATATTACGGGGTACCAGCACATGTTGTGGGGTCAAATGCCCGTACAATGAAAGATCATGACGCCCAGCTGCCCAATACGAAGGTGGCTTAACAGACACGGTCATTAAGATAGACGCACATTTCGTACATGTTTGCCGCTGGTGTCTTCTTCATACTCTGTGCTCCCTTCTCGTGTGAGCACTCGACTATCCTTAGTCATAAAAGTACATGGCCACCAGCACGAGTTCCAGATGCGTTGATGAATGGATTGTTTAATGACCGTTCATGAGAAAGTGGAAGTATATTCGCAGAGGGACTTGACATCTGCCTCCCCAAGTGCAGCAGCTAAGGCGGCACGAATACGATGCCAGAAAATGAGTGACTTCGAGTCTGATGGTCGAAAGCCTGAGGTTGCCGCCGGACTGATTCTAAGAAGACAGAAAGACACAGAGAGTTTCTAAACCATTGTCGTCCCAGTGGTATCAAACCCGGTCGCAATTCGTCCGAGCTCCCACTCTTGGTCGTATCTTGGCCGTTCTGTTGGTAGAAGGGTCGAAAGCAATTGACGCACAAAGTCGGCCTAAATGAGTTGGATTACGTAATCACGTAAATTTTACCCAAGCTACCTGCGACTGACGACGCCCTGCAAAGTTGACAACCGATCCTATCTGAGGTGCCTATGACATTGATTGCTGCGATACGTTCTATGAGAAAATCACAGCAATTTCGCAGCAGGAACACAGGAACACTAGTAAACCACGAGGTTTGGTACAGCATCCAGGCGCCTCTTGATGTTTCTCTCCACTGCTCCACGACTTGAAAACGACGGCCATCTTCTTCTAACTTACAATGTCTAGCAGAAATGACACCTCTCGCTGCCCACAATACCGTTCTAGCTTTGAAGATTCCCTCATAAAGCGTTCCAACCCTAGCGCCACATGGAGCGTGCAAGAGACATCTCTCTCTAGAACAACTGTAGAATTATTTCTATGGAGTACGTTCTTGTTCCTGACTCAATGGATCCTTCATTGCTGACATCAATCGTGGTAGCGGATTCGTGGCTACATGTGAACGATAAGATAGAAGACCGCGATAAATTTGCCTTCTCTCTTCGCCAGGCTATCACTGTCCCGATATCTATGGCTTGGATAGACTTTATCTCTGTGGTTCCCGTGCAATACATCTCTCAGCTGAAGAGCTCGCCGAAACATTGGAAAAAGATGAAGAGCAGTACGTGACCTGATTCTGTGAGGATCGCAGAATGATACTAAGATACTCTTACTAGTTCTAGAGGAGCTGAAGCGCACATTTAATATTCACGGACTGTTGCAAGAAGAAAGCCCATAAACTGAGCTGCTGTTATGGTATTGGGGTGCGGACAATTTCACGATATACGATGTGTATAGGTTGAAGCGGAAGAAAAAGGGCGCTAATGATATCCAAGTTACTTAAAATACCGAATCTTCTGCCCAAAAGTTGAGCGTTCCACTAAGACACATAAATCCGGCATCATCTATAAATCTGGACAATCAGAATGTCCTTCGAACGTCGGCAATGCGGCATGCTCTCAGTGTCAAACTTCGAAGTTTACTCCGAAGCGAGTCAGAAGTCAAGAACGTTGATCATTTATCACTTTTTGATTCGATCCCGGGGTCACCGTTATCATCGGAACCATGAGTAGTTCTCTTGAAGCCATGATTCTGCACTGGTTTAGGACCAGAAGGTTCAACGCTATCGATTATGGTCTTGGTTTATCAAGCCCACGCAGCCCAACCTGATGTATTTCTCAGACTTTCTGGTACATGTCGCCTTTTCAGCCCTCCTTCACTTCAGGATTCGGCGCGCTTATTCGTGCTTCTAACATCAGAGAACTTCGTCCTTAGCGCTGTATACATTCTGTGGCAAGCATTCTGACAGGCTGATTGCACCCTTCGTTCGGACCAGTGAGCTTCTTCAATGAGATTCCAATATCCGGTGGAACGCTAGTAGGTGCTTTTCAGCCAGCGATGCATCAAAATATTATTCGCTGACAGACAGCCCGAACACACCCAGTCTTTTCATGTTTTAGCATTCTCTTATAAAAAGACTCGTCATGAACAAATGGTACCCACACCGGCCAAACATGCACTTGAATTCCAAGTCCGCTACTGTCTTCGTCCTCTCTACCTTCGGATTCGCCTATGCAGCAGTAGGTAATCGCCATTCCGCCTAGTTACACTTATTTCACCCCAACTCCAGCCGGCTGGTGTATATTTCTGCGTCGAACCCAGCTTCCAAGGGTCCTGCGAGTACGTCTCCGCTGAGGCAGGTACCTGCATCTCCTTCGCGGCTGGAGATTCCTGGAACAAAGCCATCTCTTCTATCCTTCCGGATGTTTCGACCGTGTGCACGTTTTACACGTAAGTCCATAGTCTGTAATCTGTACTAGGAGCTAGATAATAAAACGATGCCCAGCGCCGTTAACTGCACCGGGACAACCTTCCAGGTCACCAAGGAATATGCCACCCTCGTAGGGACGGGTTTCAACAAACAAGCCAGTTCTTTCGCATGCTCCTAGGTATGTGAGTCAGTCTCTGTTCGTTATCCTACTTTTAAGCAACCGAGGTAGTTGCAAGTCTCATCGACGACCGTATAGCACCAGAACTCGAGTGGTAAAACGGGTGTAAAACTCCTATGTTGCTCATTAGTCCATATACCAATGAATACGTGACTTATCCGTGTACAGCGCTGTTCTCACATTATGTTTCCCATCTATTTCAGGACACTTTTGCGCTTGCTCTTTGAAAGACCTATCTTGATTTATATCACCAAACCTCACTACTGAAAAAACGCGGGACCAGTACTCTAAAGACGGCACAATATGCTCCTGTCAGGGACATCATTGACAATCATCAGCCGGCAGCCTGGAACCTCCATTCGTGTTTGACGGTGACCCCGCACTCTTGCTGGCAGCACCACCTTCGTTATTCATACTATCACGAGGCCCCCTCCGTTCTAATCAGAAGTTCAGACGCGTAAATTTTTGCGTTTTTCGGGAATCGCGGCGACTCCTTGTACCTCACCATGAGAAATTTTCGATTTTGTGACTCGGTGATGCTAATATTACGACTCGGTAAATCGCCGGGGCTGGTCTAGTTGCTGTGATGAACGAGTCACCTTCTCGCGAGGCGCGATTACCCTCTGGCAGGACGTTAACTTTTTCGTCATTGCACTCGGAACCGTCTGATGCACATGCGTCTCCCGCAAACGGATTCCGTAAAGCGGTCATACTATCCCGCTCAGTTTCTCTTACCTACCCAGTAGCGAGTCAGACCTTTGGAATATAAAAGGAGAGATGGGTCACCATCTCTCACCAGGTTCTCCCCCGGTTCCTACTAAACAACTCCTTTACTGATATGTTCATCCTCTCTGGTCTCGCTCTCTTCATCAGCGCTGGATTCCACTTCAGCGCTGCCCAAGTGGCTAACTGTGCTCGCAATTACACCGTGCATCTCGGTGACACCTGTGACGCGATTTCGGCTGCACAAAACTCTTCTACGTGAGCATCGAGCCTCAATTATGAATCGCGTCCACTGATTAAGATGGCCTGTTTATTTTAGCTATCAACTCGCTTCGGTGAACACCAACATCGACGTGGGATGTACCAACTTGGCTTTGGGCGAGGTAACTTTCCTTTCTTCCTTTGCTTCGTGAGGGCGTACTGAGCTTTCTGTGATACAAGGTCCTTTGCCTAGGCATTACTG